GCTATGAGACAAAAAAGGAGAAGATTGTTTTTATTCCTACAGTGTGGTTTATTGTCACAGACCCTGCCAACAATGACATCAACCACATTGACGTTTTTAAACGTTGCACATATGCGCTTACAAAGTATGAAAACTGAAAGGCCTTGGACACTTCCTCGTCCACGTTTTGGTTGGTTCGAGTTGATGCTTGAAGACAAGAGCCAGTCCCGCTATTGGAAGGAACACTTTAGGATGCGTAAGGACACATTTCTTCGGTTAGTTAACCTTGTTTCTCCGGAAATTAAAGGTTCTCCGCGGATCCTACAAACTGCAAACGACGGCCGCAAAGGACAACTTTTTCACTCTCCGAAAGCAAAGACGGCGAATTTTTGGTGTGTCTTGTTTACTAGCTTCCAGAGTGCATTTCTCTTCCACCTAGGGATAAATCGTGCGCGACATAAGCGCAGCGCGAAAAAAGTGCGAAATCACTAGCCAAAGGAATGCTGCGCGCCTGCATTAAGCGAGGACTACGTCATCGCTTAAAAATTGTTCTGTTAAAAGAGTTGTTTCAAGTTAGGTATTAAGGAGTATTAGCTTTGGAGGCAATGGCATTCGTTTCTGAGATTAAATTGCTTGGCCCCACTAGCCTTTAGAATATCAACAGATCGAGGATTATTTATTTCATTACTTTTCATAGCAAAAGGCAACATAAGCAAGGGCCGTGCACTGTCATTTCTCCTCAACATTGCACCTTTGCTTCAGGTGTGAGCCAAACTTGTGCGTGGGTCAAATTCAACCTAAATGTTATTATTTTTGTACAAGGAAACTGTTCTCCAGAGAAAAATAAAGTCACAAGGTCTGTGTTGTGCTGTCAACAAATGCCGCTGAATGGGTGATGGACTGAGGTAGTCATTTGTTATCGATGTCATTGTTATTTAAACATCACGAAGTGAATGTACATTGGCGCATAAAAATTCTAACGCTCATCGCATGCACGACGAATAATTTCTGCAACAAATATTTCTCCCTCGCACTTTGGTAGTCATCTAGTCCTCGTGTACTAGCTCAGCTTCCTCAAAACGTTTGTGATAATTCGCCCTCTTAAAGACTCGCGTAAATTGATTCAGTAGGATGAATTCTCCAGTGTAAAGTTTGCTGCCACACGCCCTCAATTTACAGTTTACTTGACTTCATCATCAATTTTTAATGCACTCGGCATTTTCGTGTATAGTTTTATATAAATGCACGTCCTTGAGCGGCACATTTGTGAATAGACCATTTTCGTATTCTAGGTATTGGACTGGAACTAGCTTGCAATGGAGGCTCGTGCGGGGGAATATCATTAAAAAGGAAATTAATGTCATTTGCATTTGAAAAGACTCCCTGCATTAGCCTCATGGGCTTCGCCTCATGAGATTGCTGTTTAGGTATGTGTGGGGGGTTAATGAGATATATTGCTGTGTAGGTATATGTGGGGGATTAATGAGATGTAGGCTGCGTAGGTATATGTAGGGGTTAATAAGTAAGTAAGTAAATAAGTAACAACTTTATTTACAGAGGGTAACACATAACAGTAAAAAGCTGACGAACCAGTGGCCCTCTATCCTAAGTTAAAAATTAAAAACTATTTACACTTATAAGATAATAAAAACTACACGCTTTGCTACGTGTACCCAGGCAGTAGTTATACTGAGAAGCAATAGCTATATTGCAATTGAGCTAAATGTTCTGCATTTGAAGTTGTACGAAATTTTGGCGAGATTGCGTTCCCACGGTGAGTTAGGAGGAGAATTGCTACGAGGCATCACTAAATGCTGAATTTGGTTCGACTCTGGCACGACGTCTG